AACAACAAAATTTGAATGTACAGTCATAGATACATCCCAGTGGGAACTAGGAGCACGTAATAATACCTTATTAGCAACTTACTCTTCACCTGGCAGTCATTACCATTTCCCTGCCGAACGTCCCTTACTTTTACAAAGGCATGGCCGCCTTATGTAAGTAGGAATTTAGAATGTACATTTGGTATCAGACATACTTCTGAGCCGCTTTACAAAGTAAGTTACTAGTAATGCAGAGCAGTCGCTCGGAGTAGTTCGGTGCTTGGAAATAACTTCGGCTGCACGTTATTTTGCAACTGACAACGTAATGTGTCTTCGGAGGTGTTCATTTTGCCCTTTACTAGTAGATGACATTGGCCATGATGACAATTTTGGTACTAAAAACTGAAAGAAAACATGGCTTACCTCGCAAGGTGCTTACCTATTTTCCCAGTGGGATATGTAGTATGTGCATATGTAAATAAATAAATGTAAGCAATTGTGTGTAATGAATTTCTGCCCATATGCTAGGCGAAGGTTTTTAGCATACATTTAAACAAATTTAACCTTAAAGCCGCTGCACTTTTACTAAGAACTATCTTGGGCCAAGTGGTGTGGCAAAAAATGAGCCTAGCGCACATAGGTACTTGGGGAAAATCCGCTGCCTTAACAACACTAACCTCGATAAATTTTTGCGTACATACGATAATTACTAGAACTTAAAGAACTTTATACTGCTTTGCTTGTAGAGAAAAACGGTACATGTCTCGCAGATATGCCTTGAGGAGTGATTCCTAAAGCAGTTAGTCTTCATAAAACACTTCATTTTCAATTGAGGTTTCAGTTTTCCCAAATTCTCCACCGATATTATTTACAGCGTGGCGACAAATAACTTGAGAAATAAAAGTGTCCTTTATAGATATGGCGAAAAAAGTATTTTATTGTTAATTTTCCACAGGTATTACTTTAGTTGTATTAATTGGTTTTTAAATTTTAATCCTTATTAACATTTGCCAGCAGTGTAAACTTTGAGAGAAAAGTTCATTTGGCACGCAAGTCTTCGTCAGGTAGTTTATTCCATATCTTCTGTAACCATAGGCTAATTTTCTCCATTTTGAGTCCCATATACTCCCCCCTCTGTCCAACATAAGGCCTCATATTCAAAAATCTAATAGACTCGGACCTTATAAAGTTTTTCGTTTTTTTTTCTTTTTTTATACAAGGTCGAAGAAAAAATACACCTGAAAAAGGCTTGCGTGCCAAATGAACTTTTCTCTCAAAGTTTACACTGCATGTAAAAAAGGATTGAAATTTAAAAACTAATTAATACAACTGAAGTAAAATCTGGAAAATTAACAATACAATATTTTTTTTCCCAAAATCTATAAAGGACTCTTTTATTTCTCAAAAAACCCTGGGTAACAGTTATTCGTCGCCACGCTGAATATTCAGAATACAAATGCTGCTTTGTGACACATTTACCAAAAAACGCTGTGAAATAATATATGTGAACAAAATACATGTGAAAAGAATGTTCAAAGCCTTATTCGCTTTGAGAAAAGTTTCGAAATTTCAATAAGTAAATTCTCTCAAGGATTTGCCTTTTTGCAAAGGCTGCTCATCAATGGTCTTTGCAAATCGGCGCAAGTGTATTTGTAACATAGCTACGCTACGTGTTGGTAAACTAAAACAGTTTAACCTGGGTTTAAGTATTCTCTTATCTCCAGCCGCTTTTGGGCATGCATTAAAATGCACGATCTTTGAATCTTGAAATATAACTCTTCAATTGAATATTATGACAAGAATGATTTTATTTCGGCGCAACGCCGTCTTTTATATGTTTACAATATAAATTCTTACTAGTGAACCCGCATGGCGTCAAAACGCCAATATTTAATTAAATTTTTTAACCAGGTGAATCCCTATTCAAAAACCTATAAAAATATTCCTAATGCTTAATCTAAACCATTTCTCAGTGATGAGAGGTCTCGCATGGTGTCGGTTTTCATTTCATCAAATTTCAAATCTCCCTCTAACTTCAAAAAATAAAACCTTTGCACATCTATGTTGAATCCCAGTTCTTTAATTTGACTTCTCATCTTGGAAATTCGAAAGAACGGTGCAGAAGTTATGACCTTAAAAAAAATAGATGGCAACACTAATTAAAAATATTTTCAGCCTATAGTTTTCTTAAAACTCTTTCGTTTGACACAAATATTTCGATTTTAAATAATTTGAGCTTAGTTTTTTCAACAAAAAAAAACCAAATGTTCAGCTTAAAAACTTCTTAATACTCGTTCTTTTGATAACCATATGTATGATTTAACGAAATACAACTTTCAAAACAGGTGGCAACCCTCTCAAAAATTATTTTCGAACTAAAATTTCCTTAAATATTTTTCGTCTGACATTCTTATAAATATTTCATGCAACTGATGAATTAAGTGGAAATTTATATTTTAAACATGTGGCAATCCTCCAAAATATAGTTCTTAAGTAAAGTATTTTAAACCCTTTTCCATTGGTAACCATCGATTAGTAATTCATTTAACTTGTTAAATAATTTTAGTTTAGCCCTTTAAACTGGGGCAACCCTCAAACACATCTTTCATTCGACATCCATCGTTAATATTTCATATAAAAAATAGTTCAATTAGATTTCTCAAAACGGTGGCAACCCCGTTCAAAATATTTTCAAACGACTACCTTCTTAGACCTCTTTTGTATGACACCCATATAGCGATACCTTATTCACTTACCAAATTCCTTTAATTAAAATTAAACATGTGGCAACCCTCCTATAGGTAGTAAAGTTAGAAAGCCTTTTCAAAACCTTTTCGATTGATACCCATATCTAATAATTGATTTAATTTTTTAATTAATTTGCACTTTTTTCGAAAAAGTAAAACCTTCTTGAACATCCTAAGCCCTTAAATTTGGTAACTCACTTTTGAAAATCGAACGGACGGTGCGGATCTGAGTGCATTGATTAGTAAATAACTTGAGTTTAATTATTTAACAGGTGGCAACTCTTTTCGAAAAAATAAAACCTTATTGCGCATCTACGGGCCAAGCGCTTTAATTGGATACCCCATTTTTGAAAATCGAACAGACGGAGCAGATCTTTTATGCTGCACAAAAAATGCCTTCGCGTATTATAGATACAAATTTGTAAGAGTGACCAATCACAACATTGGCCACTCCCTATTTCCCCTACTTATAATCAAAAAGCTTACTTACTATTTTGCATTTACATGTTTATGTACATGTGCGCTGACCCACATATGTATGCTCGGTAATCTGATCCTGCTCTTGCAATAGCAAGCATCATGCTTGAAACACAATACCCGGCGAACGGCGAAGTTCGCCGATTTGGGCGATGTCGTCGTTCACCGTTCGCCCTGCTATTTCGCCTACTTTAACAGAATTAGAGCGGTAGCGAAAGCAGCTGATACCATTTCGTCGCATATTTAGAAATGATGAAATGGTAACAAATGTAAATATAAGGCAAGGGGGAATTATTATAAATTATTTTATTTTAAGCCAGATTTAACGAATCGATCACTGTGTTTTTCAACTATCAAAAATAATTCGTGTTACATGCTGTTTTCTTCTAAATCTTTGAGATTAAAAAAACATACGGCCACCTTTAGCATGTACTGCCGCCATCGCATGTGTTTCCACGGTCAAGTGTACCTCATGCGGCGCGGTACGCTAAACGATAGTGTTTAGGGTTGCCAGATTTGTTATGCGCGAAATCAGTACGTTAGACTTTTTCATGTCAAAAAAATCAGTAATTTTCAGTATATTTTTGTTCAAAGCAAAATTTTGAATGTAAGTAACAGATATTTAATACTTTAAACCACCAGAGTACTTGTTGTTAACAATATTTTGGTATATAAATAAAATATAGTTCATAAAATATAAAGATGTTAGACATTTAAAAATGAGTGTACACATCCTTGTACACAGAAGCCAATAAATTATTTTATATGTAAGACAGTTTTGAATAGCAATAATGAGATCATTTCCATCTTCAGGGTTTAAATAGTCAATAAATTCTGTACATTTCATTTTCAAATTACTTTTAATATGAAGTTCACATTAAAAAATTGTAATTAGAAGCCTCTCTTTGCGCCAGGAAGCAAACTTTATACTAAAGAAGCAGTTGCTTCACCATAACTCTATGACTTGTATGCAAAACTCTTTTACAATGTCAGTAAATTGTGAAAAAAGAATTGTAAGTTATAGGCGAAAGCCACTCGAATATTCAAATTTGTTGTTATTAAACTGAAAGATTTCCGAGATAACTAGCAACACGTCAGCCTTATTTTTTAAGTAATTTAAGCTTCGTCATATTATCGCAACTGGTACGTAATGACTCGGCGATATGCCCATAAAACGATTGATCTTTGTTGGCAGCATATCATGCACTAACGGCAACCCGAGACTCCGAGAATTATCACCATAGTACACGGCCGCGTTGTAAGGAGCACGATCTTGTATATTTTATTAAATTTTATTGTTAATGGTTAACTTCCATATGTAAATATCTATCTTACATTCTTCGTTATTAAATATTGTTAAGAGCAATACCTAAATCTCTTGCGTGCTTTTACTTTAACACTCGAATATCAAGGTAAAAGCGTAACAGTGGCGCCGAGGATGTCGGCAGCGCGCAGTAATTAAAAAAAAAAAAAAGACAGTGACGGTGGTTGCATTTTCTCGGAAGCCCTAGCGCTCCATCGACCTTCAAATGTTGCGTTGAAAGTCAAAATCAAAACCAGCGGTATTTTTGTTCATCGGTGTTTGCGCATCGCATACGGATAGTCAAACACATACAGCAGCGCTACACAAAATAAGTAGCGGTATTACAAACGCAGCCCACGCGAGTACATCGAACGGGTTACCGGTAGCTGTGCACTCAGATAGCAGCAACAGCAACGAGTGAACAACAAGAATACCAGACAGACAAGCAGCATAGGCACAAAGTTAACTTTGCGCATATTTTACCAATGAGTTTTGCATCGCCCGACGACACGCAATGGCATTGGACAGCGTAGTGGCAAAATTGTTGGTCCAACAACAGGAAGCATCAGAACGGCAGCAGCGGTTAATTGTAACGCTGGCGAGTTTAATACAGAACAACAAAGGGGGTAGTAGTTTGCAGCAACAACAGCAGCCAGAGGCATTAGCAGACATCATTTCTCGCGGTATTCATGAGTTCATTTATGACCCAGATAATAACCAAATTTTCTCAAATTGGTTCAGCAGGTACGAACAGCATTTTACGGAAGATGCGAAATCATTGGACGACGCCTGCAAAGTTAGACTTCTCTTAAGAAAATTGAGCCCGCAAGTTTACGAACAATACGCAAATTGTATTTTACCGAAGCTACCTAAAGACTGCGATTTCCAAAATACAGTTCGGCAATTGAAAAAACTTTTTGATCGTCAAGAGTCAATATTCAGTGTGCGTTATAAATGTTTACAAATCACCAAAGAAGAGTCCGAAGATTATACCGCATACTCAGGTCGAGTAAACAGTCAGTGCGAAAAATTTTTCCAAGGCAAAATGTCTTCTGCGGAATTAAAAGTGCTTATATTTATATGTGGACTTCGATCACCGGCATATAACGACATTCGGGGAAAATTGCTTTCAATGCTAGATACAAATGTAGATACCACATTGGAGCAATTGACATCAGCAGCGCAAAGACAAATTGTTTTGCGTGACGATACAAAGCTTGTTGAAACCACAAATCCTTCGACGGTGAATGCGATTTCTGCAGATGGTAAGTCAGAATTTCGTTCAAGTAAACAAAAGCTAAAAAGCCATACCAAACCAACCAATCAAGTAAACGAAGTACCAAAACGTCCATGTTGGCAATGCGGAGCCATGCATTTTGTTAAATATTGCACGTACTCACAACACAAGTGTAAAGATTGTGACAAAATTGGGCATAAAGAAGGTTATTGTAGTTGTTTCTCTAAACGAGCAAGTACCTTAAACTCAGGTCAACGTAAAATTAATCGAAATACGCAAAGAAAATTTCAGCAACGTAGAAATTTTAGAACGAAAGTTGTTGTAGCCAAGCACAGTGTGAAGAGCATAAACAACATTAATATGCAGCGCAAGTACATTAATGTGGTCGTAAATTCGTGTCAAATCAAGCTACAATTCGACACAGCCGCAGATATCTCTCTGATTTCAAAAATTAATTGGGCGAAGCTAGGTAAACCAGCATTACATACGTGTGAGCATAAAGCATCAGATGCATCGAAGAACCAAATCCCTCTTATGGGGCAATTCGAAGCAATAGTAACTCATAAAAACACATCGCATAGCTGTATAATTTACGTCACAAGCCTCCCAAACTTAAACATTTTTGGGATAGATTTAATTGAAAAATTCGGATATTGGGACACACCCATTCGTTCGGTTTGCAATGTAATTACAAGCAATATGAATAAAGATGCGATATTCAAAGTCATTCTAAGTAAATATCCAGAAGTGGTCCAACAGCATACAGGCCACTGCACCAAATTTAAAGTCAACTTAGAAATAAAACAAAATTGTAAACCCGTGTTCAAAACGAAAAGACCCGTACCATATGCATCATTAGCAGCGGTAGAGCAAGAGCTAAACAGACTACAAGATGAAAATATCATCACACCTATTACACAGTCAGATTGGGCAGCACCCATAGTAGTTGTACGTAAGCCAAATAATCGCATTCGAATTTGTGCTGATTATTCGACAGGTTTAAACGATTGCATGGTACCTAATCTGTATCCAATTCCGCATGCAGATGATATATTCGCACAAATGTCGCTTTGCAAATATTTTAGCAAAATAGATTTATCCGACGCTTACCTTCAATTGGAAGTCGATGACGAATCCAAGAAAATTCTCACGATAAACACGCACAAGGGTCTGCGCCAGGTGCTTTTCAAAAAGCTATGGAAACTATCCTCAGCAATTTAGAGGGGGTTATAATATATCTGGATGATGTGCATAGNCTTGTATTGATTATTCGACAGGTTTAAACGATTGCATGAAACCTAATCTGTATCCAATTCCGCATGCAGATGATATATTCGCACAAATGTCGCTTTGCAAATATTTTAGCAAAATAGATTTATCCGACGCTTACCTTCAATTGGAAGTCGATGACGAATCCAAGAAAATTCTCACGATAAACACGCACAAGGGTCTGCGCCAGGTGCTTTTCAAAAAGCTATGGAAACTATCCTCAGCAATTTAGAGGGGGTTATAATATATCTGGATGATGTGCATAGCTACACCTTCAATACAAGAAATTTACAAAATGTTTATGAACGTATGGAAAGGTTCAAAGAGCACAGTCTCACGATAAACTGGTCAAAATGTGAAATTTTCAAAACGTCAATAAAATACCTGGGACACGTCATTGATGAAAAAGGTATACATCCAGATGCATCCAAAGTGGAAGCAATCAACCACATGCCGAGACCTACAAATGTAAGCGAACTCAGATCCTTTTTGGGAGCGATAAACTACTACGGCAAGTTCATAAACCGTATGAGAAATATTCGATATCCACTTGATGAGTTATTGAAAGCAAATAAAAATTGGAAATGGACGTCGGAATGTGAGAAGTCATTTAACGATTTCAAACAAATATTGCAATCGGATCTTGTGTTGACACATTATAATCCTTCACTTCCTATATCCGTAGCAGGAGATGCATCCATTGTTGGTTTAGGAGCACAAATTTTTCATACTCTGCCAGATGGAACAAAAAAAGTCGTATATCACATTTCAAGAGCACTTACGTCGACAGAGAAGCGGTATAGCCAAATAGAGAAAGCAGCGTTAGCACTCGTATATGCATGTACAAAATTTCATAAAATGATATACGGACGTAAATTCACGCTATTAACGGACCATAAACCACTGCTTACGATTTTTGGTTCCAAGAAAGGTATACCAACGCACACCGCCAACAGATTACAAAGGTGGGCATTAATTTTAATGAGCTAGGATTTTCAAATTCAGTATGTCAAGACCACAGAATTTGGAAATGTTGATGTTCTATCACGGCTTATAAGTCAACAAAGACAACAAGATGAAGAATTCATCATAGCCAAAATTTTTGTTGAAAACGAAATAAAAACTATCCTTCAAGATAATATAAAAACGTTACCAGTTACACTTGCGATGATAAAACAGGCTACGAAAAACGATAACACACTTAGCAAACTCATCGAACGCGTTAAGGAAGGATGGCCAAAATCATCAAAGCAGCTTGCGGCGGACGAAGAACTATTTTTCAACCGAAAAGACTCATTGTCAGTCGTTGACAATTGTGTCATGTATTCAGATCGAGTGGTAATTCCTGAAATTTTTCGAAAGCGGATCCTCAAGCAGCTACATAGAGGACATCAAGGAAGCGAACGTATGAAATCAATTGCACGATCGTACGCTTACTGGCCAAGGATCGACGCGGATATAGTTGCGTTTGTGAAATAATGTCAAAGTTGTGCGTTAAACGCAAAATCTCCTACAAAAGCCAAACTAAGCTCATGGCCAATCACGAAGAGTCCATTAGAGCGAGTACACATTGACATCGCGGGTCCTATTCGAGATAAGTACTACTTAGTTATGGTAGATGCGTACTCAAAATGGCCAGAAGTAGTGCAAACAACGACAATTTCAACAAATGAAGTCATCAATCATTTGCACGAGTTCATCAGTAGGTATGGACAGCCGAGAACTTTAGTTTCGGACAACGGTACGGAGTTCACAAGCTCGCAATTTGCTCAATTCTGCAATGAAAGGGGAATACAACACAGCTTCACACCACCATATCACCCCCAATCGAATGGCCAAGCAGAGCGTTTTGTGGACACCATTAAAAGAGCATTGGCAAAAGCGTTTTCCGAAAATTCACCGAATGACAGGTACAACCTACTTGTTTTTCTTTCGCAGTATCGTGCCACGCCAAATACAAGTGCACCGGACAGTCATGCGCCATCCGAATTGTTCATCGGAAGAAAGATATCAACTCCGTTAGACCTACTAAAGTCACACGTTGTATCTCATGAGAAAAATACAGTAATGGAGAGCGCTTTCAATAATAAACATGGGGCAGCTCAAAGAAGTTTTAAGTCGGGGGATCAAGTGTTTGCAAAGGTATTTCACAACAACAAATGGTCGTGGTACCCAGGCACTGTTATCGAAAAAGTCGGCAGGGTCGTATACAACGTTCTCGTAAAATCCAGGAAGCGAAATGAACTTCAGCGGTCACATGCAAACCAACTGCGAAACCGATTTTGCGAAGATGAAACGAGTGATACCGAAAATAGCCAAGACTTTACTCCAGCGACTGTCGAATCAGATCCTGTTCCTTTACTACGCCGTTCTACAAGGCAACGCAGGCTTCCCAGACGTTACCTCTAAAAACGAAGGGGGATGTTGGCAGCATATCATGCACTAACGGCAACCCTAAACGCGCAGTGTCACTAATGGCATTCTTGACATTTGGAGACTCCGTGAATTATCACCATCGTACACGGCCGCGTTGTAAGGAGCACGATCTTGTATATTTTATTAAATTTTATTGTTAATGGTTAACTTCCATATGTAAATATCTATCTTACATTCTTCGTTAATAAATATTGTTAAGAGCAATACCTAAGTCTCTTGCGTGCTTTTACTTTAACACTCGAATATCAAGGTAAAAGCGTAACAATCTTTTTATTGTATTAATTTCTTGGGCACATCAAACATTATCTGAAGCATGTCAACTATAATTAAAGTAGTTTCTTCTTACTTTTTAGAGTGCAGCCAAAGTTATGTAAAAACCGTAAGAAAATCCTAAAGTATTTTGTTCGAATTGAAAATTCAGTACAAATCAGTACAAATTTTGAAAAATCAGGTCATTAGCGTACTGATTGAAGAAATTAATAAAATCAGTACAAGAGTTGAAAAATCAGTACTGTACTAATAAAATCGGTACGTCTGGCAACCGTAATAGTGTTAGCCGTGTCGAGTGTTCCGCATGTGGCATCAAGTGCGCTGGTAAGTATGTCACACAGGACGGTCACAACAAACACGCCGACTCAGGAATATGAGCCGCATGTGCTACGTGTGGGTCGGGCACACTACATCCTACCCCTCAAGAAGCGTATAAATTAATTGTAATTTCTTAAAATTTAAATTGATTTATATTGGTTTGTGCTTATGTTTGCAGCTTATGCCATAATTTCTTATTTGGTAGTGCAAAATCTATGTCATTTATGTACATGCTGGTAATGATTACAATCTTAATTTTAATTACTATTATTGGTGTTGTGTCACCTAGGGTTAGATTTAATTACTCCTATCTTTAACTAAATTATTGTTACGTACAGTTATTTCTTTTTTATTTTTCAGTATGGTACTATTTGGACCATCTTGTCTAATTATTTTATGAGGGCCTTCGAATGGTACATTTAATTTCTTTTTATTGCCCACTTTTAAATAAACGTGATCATTCACAGTAAAATTTGCTCTATTTACGTTTGTGTGTTTTTGTCTCGCCCTCATTTTGCTTTCATTTAGGTTTGTAGCAGCATTGCCGTGTGCAAACTTGAGTTTCATTTTCGACTCATTCATATAATTTTCTATGTCATAAATTTTTTCTTTGTTGCTTATTATATCATTCGGTAATGCACATAGTTTTCCGAATACAAGTTCAAAGGGGGAATACCTTGTTTACGTGTGTGGTGTCGAATTATTGTAGTACATGTTGTACGGTATGAGTTCGTCCCAGTATGTATATGTTCTTCAGTGTCATTAGATATCCATTTAGTACCCTGCTGAAATGGAGTCGAATTTGCCTTGCTTATTTTTAATTGCTTACATATGGTTTTGAGTAGCTCATTGGTAAATTCTGTGCCCTTGTCAGTTTTTCACCCCTATTCTGTAACTCTTTCGTATTCGTATTTTGCTACGAATCGTAGAAATAGTATGCTGCAATCCGAATCGTATTTTCGAACTTTCGAAATTCGTAACAATGGCATGCCTAAAAACGAACGAGTACGCTTTTTTGCGTAATTTTGTACGAAAACAATTCTGTGTCGGAGCCGAGACAAAAGACGTAAATTGATGTGTGTTTGCAGGAAATATTAGTGGTGTTCATTAAAACCAGACATGGGCACTTTTGCCCGTATGGGCTTTTTTGCCCGTACGGACAAGCGAGCCCATTTCGCGGGCTAGATCAGGGGAAAATCATGGGCAAACGGGAAGGGGGCAACAAATCTTACTAATACACGTATAGCAATGAGAGCCACTGCACACGCATTCTGGAGTAAAAAGGCTCACTCTCCCAAACGTACGCCACATACACTCCTCGTCATTGGAATAGCTCAACTTTTTAATCTTTAGTATTTACACTTTTAATTTTGTTTATTTAATATTCATTACATCCGATTTTAAAACTTTATACAGAGTTAAAAAAATGTCAACAAAGGGGTACAATAAAGTGCAAGTTTCAAGTGTCTGTAAAATAGCGGTGATTTTTGACAATTTTTTTGGTGATAGTGCTGCGCATTTTCTCTCATACAAAGTATGCTCGACAAAACTTTTATATGGAATAAAATGCGCAGCACTGTCAATAAAAAATAAATGAATTTGAAAAATCGGGGCTGTTTTAGAGTCACTTCAAACTTGCACTTAATTACACTATAATTGAATGGGCTACAAAACTGCATATCAGAAATTTTTCTAAAAATATTATTAACTTATTCACTGCAGGTCATTAGGATGGCACACTCCTATGTTGACCTTTTTTAAGAACTGTTTCCAGCTCTCGAGAAAAACGAAAAAATCATATAAAATGCTGCCCAAGAAATGGAAAATAAACTTTCTTTTAAGTTTTAGTTTGTAAAAAATTTTAAAATTGCATTTACCCGTAGAATATGCTATATCGTCACTAGACACGAATAAAGGCGCGAGCTCAAAAGTTGACGGCGAAAAAAGACGCATAAAAAAATTTCAGCGTCAAATACTCTTAACATACTTCGCCAAAGTTTTTTATAAGCATCTTTTTTCGCAAAATTTTTTTAAACGCTTTTTTTCACCGTCAAAACACCAGCGCGCCTTTATTCGTATGTAGTGACGATATTTTTACAAAAAATTTATATTAAATAAACAAACGGAAAACTGTAAATACTAAGAATTGAAAGGGTGTGCAATTCAAATGACGAGGAGTGTATATGAGCAGATGTGATCACTACCCCAAGTAAACGCG